TACATTCAGAGGCTTGGCAACTGATTCATATTTATGATGGTCACAGTGTCCCAGGGTCACGTGAAGTGACCAAAACCTGCTGCAACCACCCAGCAGACGGGGGGAATAAAAACCAAACACCCCCCATCCCACTCCCGCTGCCAACCCTCAACAGAAATGCTCACAACAATGGAAACCTCGGACAGGAGGAAGAGCGCCGACGGGCAGGCAGGCTGGTGTCTTGCTCGGCTGTGGCTTGGGGGGCATTTTTTTCAGTGCCATTGTAACTTCGAACAGTCACTAAGCGAACTGTTGTAAGTCAAGGACTACCTGTACTTCATCACTTTTTTCCTTTTTTTTTTTTTTTTGGTCATCAAGTTTTTGACACCTTGCTAGGTGACTGGTGGTACTCGGATATTGCCATATCCTAAAAGTGGTACAATGGGTGAAAAGGTTGAAAAGCCCTGATCTAAACCTCCTTCAGACCTAACCCAACTGTCAACGTCGTCCTTTTTGGTGCTCCGAAAAACAAGCCAACAAGCAGGAACGAAAGACTGGACTTCATAATGGTCTTGTCTAACGGGCCCTGGGGCTTTGGGCGTACGGTCACGGGAGACCTCCCCCACTGGCTTCAGCAGGCTACTGTGGAATACTGGGTGGATCTTGCCTAACCACCGAGGCAGGTGTAAACGCACAGCCACTGGGTTAATCACCTGTGCAACCCGGAACGGGCCTATGTATTTCGGTGCCAATTTCTTACTCGGCACCCGGCATGATTGCCTGTATCACCCAAGGGATCACCAACCTATACTTTTAATCAAATACTCGAATGGGTCAATAACTTTGGAGCCCTTTGTGTGTGATGTCGTAATCTTTTAGCAAAACCTCAGCCAATGGAAAAAATTCTAAAGGACCAATCTTTACTGGAGGGGGACATGGGTCCCTCTCTATTATTTATATTGATAAATTTAAGCAAATCCATGTATGTATGGATTTCCCCTTTGCTTCTGCCTGAGTATTATGGTTGAATCTAGTCACTGTGACTTACTGTATCCAGCAAATCATAATTAGAACAAAACCAGGGCTTTAGTTCAAGAAGCATCCTTCCTGGAAAGATCACGGTATTTTCCGCTAGTCTTTTATGCATTTCACATTATCTTGTTACACACAATGGTACCCCCCCAGCCATCTCTGAAAGCGCACAAGGCTGTTTGGCAGAAAGATTCCTTGCCTGTCAGAGAGAGTCATTAGCATTGACCTTGAAAGGATTTTGCCTTTCTGGCTTATTAAAGGAGTGCTGTAATCAGAACAAGAGCCCAGAAAGCCATGTCAGAGCAGGAAACAGAAAGACTTAACCTAAGTGGATGTACAGAGGTAATTGGTGAGCAAGCGGAGACGTTGTTTGATTTTGCTAGAAAATTAGGATTTGTTTCAGAACTAGAAAAATCTATTTATATTCCGGGTGATTTTTTTTTTTTGATTTTTTTTTGCAGCGCTCTGGTTTTTCTCTCATGGAAGCTAAATCTGTCTGTCATTAAAGTGGAACACTTTCTTGCTAGGATCTCTTCTGACAATGAGACAGCTCTGTGTAGCGAAATATCCTCTCTTCTTAGAACCAACCAGTTTCAATCACCAGTATCCCTTTCTCTTGTTTCCTTCCCTGTGGAATGCCTGCAACCTCTTCACCTGAAGCTGCCCGCTGTATGTCAGTTGACGGTTGTAGTGAACCATTGTCTCTCTTGAAACTAATGGAACTTGTCAAATTTCCTACAGGAAATCTTCTTGGTACACTACAACAGGGCTTTTCAACCTTTTCACCCATTGTACCACTTTTAGGATATGGCAACATCCGAGTACCACCAGTCGCCTAGCAAGGTGTCAAAAACTTTATCACTTTTTTTTTTTTTTGGTCATCAAGTGCAGGTAGTCCTCGACTTACAACAGTTCACTTAGTGATTATTCGAAGTTACAACAGCACTGAAAAAAGTGCCCTCCAAGCCACAGCCGAGCAAGACACCTGCCTGCCTGCCCGGCGGTGCTTTTCCTCCTATCCGAGGTTTTCATTGTTGTGAGCATTTCTGTTGAGGATTGGCAGCGAGGGTGGGGTGGGGGATGTTTGGTTTTTATTCCCCCCGTCTGCTGGGTGGTTGCAGCAGGTTTTGGTCACTTCACATGACCCTGGGACACTGTGACCGTCATAAATATGAATCAGTTGCCAAGCATCTGAATGTAAATCACAAGACCCTGGAGATGCTGCAACATTCCAGCTAATCGGAGCGTCTTCTGGGCTCAGAAGCGCCATGATCAGCGCCGAGCTCCAGCTGGAGCCTGGCGCTGATCTTGGTGCTTCCACTGAGCACTGACAGTACCGAAGAAGCGCTGATCCTGATGCTTCCGCGCCAGCCATCTGTTGCTCAGGCTTGTGTGGTGCTGCCACCAGTTCAGCTCATTCCCCTCCCCCATTACCACTTTTCTAGGATGGTCACATACCACCTGCCAGGTGCCAATGTACCACATTTTCAACCGTACCACTGGTTGAAAAACCCTGCACTATAGGAACTTCTTGGTACACACTTGTACATTTTGTGCGACTTTGCCATCACTGAAATAGTCACCCTCGTTGCCAAAAGGGTCTTTAAAGATGTAAAACTGTTATTATTATGGGGCTCTGTTGAGAAAGGACATGCTTTCTTATAGCCACCAACCCTGTCCTCCCAGTGACTGAATGTCTTAAGGATCCAAGGGCTTTTGGTCTTAATTTAATCTCCACTTAGGCAAAAAAAGCCCAACCCACCTCACAGGGTCTTTGTTGTTGTAGAGCAATGGTGGCGAATCTATGGCACGCGTGCCAGAGGTGGCACTCAGAGCCCCCTCTGTGGGCACGCGCGCCGTTGCCCCAGCAGAGCTCACCAGAATAGTGAGCACGTGGCGTTTGGAAGCGACAGGGCAGGAAGTGAGCAAGTGGTGTTGGCCCCCCGGAGATGCCCCGGAGATGGCAAGGGACTGGCCCCGGCCACGCTCACCCAGTCTGCCGTGACAACTTCAGCCATGCCCACCCAGTGGGCCACGCCCCCCACCCCCCCTGTGGGCACCATAATGCTGATGCAGCCCTGGCACTTTGCGATAAATAAGTGGGTTTTGGGTTGCAGTTTGGGCACTCGGTCTCCAAAAGGTTCGCCATCACTGTTGTAGAGAAAATAGGAGGTGAGAACATTATCTATGTACATATGCTGCCTTGAATTGGACAACATCTGAATGGTCAATCATCCACATCAAGTAATAATTTGAGTTTCTGGACTCTACTTTCTATCTTGTTCAGAGCCCGTGGTGAAGCTTAACTTATCTAAGGCTGTTTAATGCAGTGGTTCTCAACCTTTTTAATGCCGCGACCCCAACCGGTCGTAAGTCGAGGACTAAACTGGTCATAAGTCGAGGACTAAACNGCCGAGGCGTAGCTGGCAAGCGGCAGAGACGGAGCAGGCCGACCACCAGCTGGCCCAGCCCAAGGGAGGTAAGGCACCCGCCGGAAAAGGGGAAAAAAATGGCGGACAAAAAAATGGCGGACAGCCTTGCTTGGCGACCCCCATGAAATGGTCGATCGACCCCAAATGGGGTCCCGACCCACAGGTTGAGAACCACTGGTTTAATGCAATGCTATGCAATTTTCGTGCAGGTAGGAGATCCCATGTAAAAGCCACAGGATGGTGATTTGGAGCCAAAGGCATTCTGCTCCCTATTTATGGGGGGATCATCAGCATGTTGGTTCTCCAGTCCAGAGATGCTGCCACAGAAGTTATATTCACCCATGGTTAGCAAGACGGCTGGATTGTGATGAAATTCCTTATGCGTCTATCGAATGGGATTAAGAACAAGGTCTCCTTCACCACCAGTCTTTCTTTCTGGAGAACAACCCGTGAACTGTAGCACTTACTTGAACAAAGCTGAATTCCCTCCAGTTAAGAGAGTTCGAGATGGACGGAAGTGAGGTTATGGCAAGTAACGAGAGCAAGCCCAGAGCCATGATGCCAAAAGAGATATATATCTCCATCCTCCAGGCTTCCTCCTCCACCCAAGCATCTGCTCTCTTCTCCACCTGAAAAGAACAGTGGCAAAGTCACGTTGAAGAAAAAACCAAGAAGGGGAAACAGGGTGGTGAACTGAACAGTGCCCAAGGGTGGGATTAATTTCCATATAATGTCTGCCAGCTGCAGGATATCTGGAAACTTTGGACAAAAGGAAGCCTGTCCTTCAGCCAACTTGTTTTCTGGCCAGATACTGATTCCTAACCTCCATTTGACTTGAAGATATATGAACTGGAACTTTTCATAGCTGGGAATAATTGGCCCACTCCTACCATTGCCCTAGGTCAGGGGAAGGCAACTTAGGCTCTTTTATGACTCGTGGACTTCAACTCCCAGAATTCCTGAGCCAGCATGGCCCAGCTTGGAAACCTCTCCCTTTCCCCTCAGCATGGCTGGCTCAGGAATTCTGGGAGTTGAAGTCCACGAGTCATAAAAGAGCCAAGGTTGCCTACCCCTGGTCTAGGCCTAGGTCGCTTTATGACTCGTGGACTTCAACTCCCAGAATTCCTGAGCCAGCATGGCTCAGCTTGGAAACCTCTCTCTTTCCCCTCAGCACAGCTGGCTCAGGAATTCTGGGAGTTGAAGTCCACGAGTCATAAAAGAGCCAAGGTTGCCTACCCGTGACCTAGGTGATTTCATACAGCTTGCATACATAGTTGGGTCTAGGACAATTTGCCGCGGCTGAATTGCCGTGGCCAACTTGCCACAGGACAACTTGTTGGGGGGACAAAAATGACACTAATATCAAAGAAATGGTGGAATAGAATCATTAAAGGATGCAAAAGGAGGGACAGAATGAAATGTGAATGGCAAAAATGAAAATAATTTATTTATTTTAAGTAATTAAATATAACTGTTAAATTGAGTTGTCCCTTGGTGAGTTGGCTGCAGCAAGTTGTCCCATTCCCCACATAGTGGGAGGGGGGGGCTGTTTCATAATCATTTGTCAATGATAGGTTTAAATAGTTTAAGCTGGCGCATGGTCACCTCCCACCACTGAAGTACAAGTGCTTGAGTTGTGCCACTGGCAATCAGCTACAGCTTCCTCCCCATTGCTCTTAATACTGGATAAAAGGAGTGTTCACCTGGGTTTTCAATGTAGTATGCCATGTGTGCATGCGTTGGATTTTTAGTATTGCCTTCCAAAATTTCCTTTAAGTCACACTGGCATCTAAGTTTACTTAGGGTTTTGCTTCTCATAGGCTGAATGGAGCACTCTTTCTGGATCACGATCTGTTTAGAAATGACTCTCCTAGAGATGTACATATGTCAATCCAGTCAGCAGCTGTACATCAAAGTATAAAAATATTGCAAAGGAAAAGCTTCAGAGCTCAGTTAAACTTAAGGCTGGGCAAAAACTTTTATCAACCAGCAAGATTTGACCGGATTCCTTTTCCTGGTGGACACGTGTGACTTGAAGCAAAAACGTGAACTTAGTTCTGCTGCAGGATTGTGTCTCCCACTTACCTTCACTTACTATCTGGTACCAATAAAAAGAGTGATTTCCCACTTATAGCCACACGTAGGTATCTGAATGAGACTTGACAACTGGATTGGCAACAACACTGTTCTTCCAAACCCAGTCACATGTGTATGAGCCACTGAACTGATTTCCCAATATTGTTGAAATGTGGCCGGAAGAAAACAGAACATCCAGAACTCTCACCGACTTCTAGTGGAATATGGCCAAGAAATGGGTGCCTGGAAGACCAAACCTCACTTTGCCATTTGAAGGATACAATTAAAATGGCAAAGCGGCTCTAGTTTCAAGGAAAGCACCACAAGCATCACTCTCCGAATGCTGGACTGCTTAGGGGGGCTTAATGGGCTTTGGTTTAAATGCTTTTAGGCGAGAGGTCTTCAGGCTAATGGGGAAGAAAAAAAACCCTCAGAAATGGGATTTGTACTATATTACAGAGACTGACACTTAGCTCCTTCCATTTATTCTGTTAAATCAATGTGATTCATGAAGCTGGGGACGGGGGGAGGGAAGAAGAGAAATAACTAGCATAAGAAGAGAAACAAACAGGCCAGGAAAGCTTGCCTGAAGATTTATTTACGATAATCAAGAAAAAGAAACGGGAGCAGAATTAAAAGCTGGGGTGGGGATATTGTGCTCCTAGCAGCAAATACAGGAAGGCAACTGGGCAAAAGAAGATCATGCAGGCAAACTAGAAAGGAATGAAAAATCTTTGTTTTTCTACACTGCCTCTCATATTCACTTACTTAAGTAGAACTGAGGTCCATTGGCATCAATGAAACTTCATCAAGTTTAGAATCTATATTGATAGGGGAAAATAAAATACTTCTAGCTCTAGGCTGAACTATGGAAGGAGTCCCTTGCTGCTCTTCGAGCTTGGTAGTTTTCTTGCAGATATTTCATTACCAAACTAGGGAATGTATATTCTGGCCTGGGCTGATATATGAAACAACCAGTGTTCCATATAAATAATCTACTCACACCTAAGATTTTAAGCTTAGGCGTAAGCGTCTTGATTTCCACATAGAAAGAAACCACTTTTCCAACTCTCAGAAGGGCGAAGGAAAATCGGGAATCTAGTTCAAACTGGAACAATGCCTTCCGACCCGGCTTTCTTCCTACTGGCTCAGGTGAATGCTATAATCCAGGATCTCCTTTTCGTCCTTGGAAAATGGGAACCTGGGCTGAATCATTCATGGCTTTGGGAAATGCTTGGAAGCCTTAGCTAGCTAGAATATAACAGCCAGTTTTCTGGGATATAGAATATAGACTAAGAATGGCCATGGCATTTTTGCTAAACTGGTATGGAAAATCCAAAAAATGAGAGAGGGAAGGGGATGAAAATCCCTTTCATGTTTTGTTGCAAAGCTCAGCCAGTTCTACATGAGGCAGCTTGCTTAATCAAGACAAAGTGCCAGAAAGAACCCCAATTTTGTATCTTTTAACAGTACAAACAACACAACGAAGGGGTCCTTGGTGCTCTCTGAGCTTGTTTTCTTGCAGATGTTTCATTACCAAAGAAGGTAACATCATTGGTGCTAATGAAACATCTGCAAGAAAACAATCAAGCTTAGAGAGCGCCAAAGACCCAAAGTTCAACTTTGAGCTACAAATATTCTCTTCTACTAATTACAATTATGGAATAAGTGGGCAGTCTAAACTTCCAGGGCTGAATGTGGCCTTCTGAGAACATTCAAAAACTGTTAAGGTTAATCCTGATAGAAGCTCAATGAAGTTTTTTTTCTCTCCCTAAAGTAACAATCTCCAAACACTCTCACTCCCAAATCTAAGAAAAAGCTACCATGGCATTCTGATCTTGCCCATTTTGTATCTACTCCATTCACTGCTGCTCCCAATCTTGCCAAAATATAACTACAGGAAGTCCTTGACTTATGACCACAATTGAGCCCCAATTTTTTGTTGCTGAGCAAGACAGTTGTTAAGTGAATTTTGCCCCCTTTTACGACCTTTCTTGCCATAGTTGTTAAGTTAGTAACACAGTTGCTAAGTGCCTCTGGCTTCCCCATTGACTTTGCTTGTCAGAAGGTTGCAAAAGGGGGTCACATGACTCCGGGACACTGCGACCCTCATAAATATGAGTCAGTTGCCAAACGCCTGAATTTTGATCATGTGACTATGGGGATGCTGCAATGGTCATGTGATAAACTTTTTTAGTGCTGTTGTAACCTCAGTCACTAAACAAATGTTGTAAGTCGAGGACTACCTATACAGCCCACCAGCTATCACAAGGTTGTCTCCTGCTGGATTGAGGCAATTTGGAATGAAGCAATGGAGCCAGGGATTCCTAAGATCACGCAATGAAAGGAGCAGTCAGATTTTCAAACTCCTGGCAGTACCATACCTGCTTGACCGCCTCGTTAAGTAGCAGATAGCGGTGGGACCGGCGCATGGGTAGGCACAGACTGTAGACAGCATGCAGTGCTGCGCAGAAGAAGCTGAGGAGGCCTATCTGCTTCCGGTGCTGCAGCCACTGGTCAAGCCAGTCAGGGAAACGCCGGTACTTTGTGCAGTGGTACAGCTGAAAGATGGCTGCAAGCACTCCGGGAAGGTAGACCAGGGAGAGCATGACGTAGGCCACGCAAGGCAAGGTGGTGTTGACGATCTCCACAGGGATCTTGTAGAATTTGTTCTTCTTCTCTCGAATGTAGGGATGCAAGACTTGCCGGATGAAGTTGTAGGTGTAGAAGCAGAGGAAGAGGCCCAGGGCCAAGAAGACAGGAATCTTCCAGGCAGGGAGAAGACGCAGGGGAATATTCTCTATTTCCCGAGCTGAGAACAAGGCACCCATGTCCGTCGGGGTGAAGCCCAGGGCATGGGCAATTTCAGCAACCGCCTGTTTGGCTTCTTGGTTGTCAGAGCAAATGAAGACCTGTAACAAAAGGAGGGGGGAACAACTGGGAAATTGTAACCAGGAATCCAAGGCAATGGTGCAATCAAAAGAATCTTAACAGCATAGTGTTTGCCTAGTGGTTAAGGTTTGGAGCAGAGAATTTTAGATTCCTACTCAACCCTGGAACCATTGGGCGATTTGGGACCATTTATTCTCTTTCAATCCAACCTTTCTCACAGAGTCAAGTGACAGGAAATCCACCTGTATGCTGTAGGAGCGCTCAGGAGAAAGATGGGATAGAAATGTGAACGAATGAATAAATGAATGACAGCAGCAGCAGCAGGAACAGCTGTGAAAAATGAGTCACGTGACAAGATTTTATTTTTCTGCTCCTTTTCTTCCCATGATAGCATCATTCTTGAATGCTGAAACAAGCGTTTTTCCCAGTGAACCATTATGAACACCATGAGGCTCCTGGTGAGGGATTTTAAAAAGGTATTAAAGTACTTGGTTATACAAATTTTAACGAATCAAATCATAATTTTCTATAATAATGTACTTGACTACCTCAAGCACAAGGTCAGCCAGAATTGGATGCCTGTGCCTTGAGGTGCAGAACTATGTGCAAGATTGCAACTGTCTGGGTAGCAAAAAATAATTCAGATATTCATTATGGGCATGCTAATTACTAGCAGATACTAACTCACGCTTTCCCTTTTTTCTCAAGCTAAATGCACACAGATTCTGATGGGCTTCATGTGGGTCCTGAAGCTCACTCCGAAGAAACTGGAAACTGGTTACACAAACTATGACTCCTTCTTAGGAGGGGAGAATCTCAGAATCCTAGAGATGCTGGTAGGTCCAGAACGTACCAAAGGAAAAAAAAAACCCATTACCTGTTTGTTCCCATCTCTGGGACCTGACTGCAGAGTCCAGGCTGAAATGACATTGAATCCTTTGACCACAGGGCAGGCTGGAAAAAGCGAGGCTAGATACTCCGCATTGGATTCTTTATGATGATTTATTTCAGCATTGTTGCTAACATCCACCAGGACTTTGCCAGAAAGCTCATTGTTGAGGTCACAGAGCGTGGTGTAGTGTTCTCTGAAAATTGCCACAAAGATGATATCGGCCTTCTTTATGGCGTCTGCCTGGCATGTAACTTCAACTGCAGAAGGAAAGAGGCTGGCATGGCGCTTCGGGTTCCGACTTCCGATCACCACTTTGAAACCTGAGCACACCAGGCGCATAGACAAGGAGCGTGCAAAGTCGCCACTTCCCAGAATCCCAATTGTCCTGCTCCCAGCAGCTGGGGCCAAGCTTAAATTACTGTCCGTGTTCTGATGATCTAACAGTGGTTTGGCCATGTCACCTCCTGGCATCCCGTAAAGCTAAAGCAAATAAACACAAGGTCATATCAATCACCCACACTGGTTATTTTCATGAAGGTAGAAGTATGTGCTTGATTGTTGACAATACGTAGCCCGAGTCCCACAATGAAAGTTTTTGAACATCTCAAATTAAAAAAAACAACACAGAATAATTTCTATATCATGTAGCTGTACAGTATAAGTGCTAAATGTTGTTATAAGCCTAATAAGTAAATAATTAAACAGGCTTCAGAGTTTGTCATTAAAATTTTGAATTATGCTTATGAATCCACTCATTAAATAAAGAACTCACCTACTTACAAACTTTATTTAAACTTACTTCCAAAATCTTTAGTGTTTCCTGATGGAGAGCTAAGTTTTACTTTAAAAGCAAGTCTTAATGTGATTTTACAAATATACAATGTCTATGCTTAACAGAGTATTTTTAGTACTTGAATAAGTATGAATTAGAAAATATTACCCATTTCTAGGACTAGCTAGTAAGAATTAAATTTCATGTTGTTTCTGTGCTTATTAGTTTATTTAAAACATTGTCTAAGTGCCTTTTGTATTATCTTTATAGGAAACCTCAAAAACCTATCGGCAATAAAGATTCTGGAATAAGGATTTATGTATTCTAAATATAGACTAGAATAGCATTTCATAATCTGAAACCCTGACTTGAGAAGTCATTCCTGTAATTAGAGCAGAAACGTTTCTACATTACACTCATTTAATCCAATGAACAAAATTATCAGCTTGAAAAACAGTTCAGTTTTTGAGCTCTATTTCAAAAGTTCCTTTTAGAAGGAACTTTAGTCTTAAAAACTATTCTTAAAGCAGGCATGAGTGACATGCAATCCTTTGGATGATCACGGACTATAACTCCCATTATCCCTCAGTACTGGACATGTTAGCTAGGGAAGACGGGAATGATAGTCTACGGACCTCTTGAGGGCCAATTGTTACCCAATCCAGACTTCAAACAAACAGAACCTTATCTGTCTGAGTGAAATTAAGATATATAAATATTCAGTAATGTCAGAATAGAATTTACCTAGAGATTTGTCTCATGAGCCAGCGATGCCTCCAACGTGCAAGCCTTCTCCCTACGGATAAGACACTGTCCTAGTCTCTTTTATAGTCTGGCACCGGTGTTTTGCAAACTTCCATTCAAAACAAGCGAGGGCAGATTTGCAAAGTTTTAAATTAAACACTGTACCGTACTCTCTTGTTTTGATAGGCCAAGACAATGGATGATGCAACACATCTAAATCTGAAGCATTACACCCTTTGAAAATGTTAAGCAAAAGAGTGATATTTTTAAAGGAAGGGACTAGCTTAAGTCTGGACTCTCATTAATGGTAGATTTAACTAAGACCATTGTTTGAAGTCAACATGATTAAGACAGCTTGTTCAAAGCTTCTTCGTAAAGGAGTGTGGTCTAACGTGGCTGTTTGAAACAGGTGAGTCAGACACCATTGGTGGTCCACTAAGCCTTTATTTTTGCTGATTCATATGCAGTGCTTATCTGTGGCAAATCGGTCTTGGATATATTGAGATGACTTGTTCCTGCTTTCCAAAATTGCTACTAATACAAATCCAATGAAAA